CAAAATTAATACACAATCACTTATACGTTGTCATAAGAATGGAATTTACAAATTCGATTCGAAATTTAAGATACGATTCTTTTATTGAACTTTTTTGATTTATTTATTAATTGAATGAATTTTTGGAAAGCAATTTATTTTAAAATATCTCACTCGTCGAAAAGGAGGTTCTTTTTCTTTGGAAAGAACCAACGGGATTTGCACATCCGTTATTAAGAAATCTATTCCATCGTGTTTTTTCAACAACAAAAAAACAATGTTGCCATTTTTATTTATGAGAACGAAATTATGCTCAAATCAAATTTGAATGTGTCAAATATCACATGAACAAACAAGATATCAAAGTATGCTAACAAAGAATTGATGCACATTATCATTATTAATATTAAAGTAATTTTTATTTAGAGAAAATAATTAATTATCACTTTATTTACATAATTTTATAGAAACGTACTTAAACCATTTATTAATATCATTTTATATTAAAAATAAGCTTGATTTATTTCAAGTTCACTTTTTGTTCGAATGATCATATTAAATTGCATGACCGTTATTAAGAATGCTTTTCGTGACCATTCTACAATAAATATCATTGAAAACATATGAGTAATAATATAAGAAATATTAGCAAATATATAAAAAGAGTATTTTATAATTTCTCAAAATGTTTTAGCAAAAATATAGATACATAAATATATAAGGGTTCAAGTTGATATATATATATATATATAATACACACGGGAAATGAAACAACTAAGATATGAAATTATTTACTATATTAATATAACTAATTATAACATACATTTATACAGTCTAGTACGAATGCATATATATATATATATATATATAAACAGTATACTATAACATATTAACGTAGTTAATGAGAAAAATATTTGCTTTATATAAATATAGCTAATATGAATATAAACTAGGTTGATCTTTTGTCTCGAACTCTAATACTCCATGTTCTAAAAGGCACTAAACTCGGCGCTTAAAGATGATGCAGTTCCTAATAGAATATCCTTAAGCTCCACGATGATATTCACAATGGACATTGACGTCATACCAATTTAGATATAGAGGTTGTCAAGGCTTAACATAATGTGAGGCCACTACTCGTACCTCTAAGATATTATCATACAATTCTCCATATGATAAGAGAAATTAAAACAAGGACTATTACCCCCTGACCTTTGACCATCATATAAATGTGATTTGATTTGAGCATCAAGATTCTTATCATTATTTGCTTTCACGATCTCAAGCATCCTAATAATTGTTGGACTCTCGGGGAACACAAGTTTACTTTGCTTGAGACTTAATAACCCTACCTCGATGAGATCTATAACTTTGTTTTCAAAGCACTGGAGTCACAAGGTTCATCTCCACTAGTATCGGGAGTTAATTCTCATATGCCACTAATAAAACCTGATCACTTGGCCTCTTTCCATCTCTTTTAACTTTTACAGTTGTCAGTATTTCCTTGATATCTCCAGATAGTTTGTTGATACGGATGGTGATTGTGCGTGATTCCTTAGGTTGGATAGAATCATCTTATTCTAAAGTAGACCCTTGAGTATCTAGCATCACAGGGTTGTTTTCTTCTAATTCTTCCCCTCCTCGTGCAGAAGACCCTTTGTCCTTTGGCCAAAGCAGTTATCATATTCATCACCTTCGACATTTGCTCTCTCATTCCTTGTATCTCATTTTGCTCACTAGTGGTGATAGCACATTTTTATATATCTAACATGTGACCTTTAGATGAATTGCTACCCATTCTTCTCGGAGCTTTTTCAGCATGGCACTTCATAGTATGTCATGATCTACTTGATTGTGAAATCCTTTATCCATCATGAAAATCTTTTGAATTGATGACCACACACAAATCAACACCTTTTGTTTATGTCATGATAAAATGATGCAAGGAAAAGAAAAATAGAAACAAGTTAGTTCAAATATGATAACCAACAAAATAGTGAGCACTAAAATAAATCACATCTGGCAAGTTGTCTACGTGAACATGGTTCATAAATTAATGCAGGATGTAGAAGTAATTGCAAAAGGTATTGATCCCAAAGATGAATATCATAAAACAAAATTCATTAGGGACAAAAGTCTATATTATTACAAGATAATCCTTTTTTTTTTACAAATGCAACTTTACTTGGATGTTTGATCTTGTCTTATTTCCTTTGATCAAAAAATGGGTTTGTGCTCTGCCTCAAGATTTCTGCTTTGAAAGTTATGCCTCTCAAGTGCTTCACGACCTCTTAGGCTTGTGTAACGACTTTATTTAAAATGTGATCCCTATCTCGAATTGTACCATTGTGATGCTAGAGTAGAGCATTGTGGCTTGATAATTAAAGGTGGAACAATTATATAATGATTTCATAACTACACCACAGTTTGAATCATGGGCTCTTTTTTTACGTCTTGGACTTCATTCAATTTGATGTTAAATTGCGTGTAACCCACCAACTCTGATAAATGGACTTCAAGTGATTTACTTCCTTGTTTTCTCTAAGCCTTTTTTTCTATTTGTGCACGTCAATATATGTGATTATTTGATTAAAATTTTTTCTTTATTTATGAAAATTTTCAAATTAGATAGTCAACTACAAATTAACACTTTTATGTCACGATGATGAAGATGCAAATGAAAGTAACAAAAATAAAACAGGACAAAGGAAATGATTAGTACCAATAAAAATAATCTACAAAATAGTAGAAATTACTATCAACGAATAATAACTACCTTCACATGTTGTCTGCCCAAATAAATCTATGTTATGAATTTAAAGTAGAGAGCAGAAATTAGAGTAGGTTTCTCCTTTCTGTACACCTATTTTGGGTTTCTATTAAGGAACAGATTTTCGACATGGTTTTAGATCAGGTGGATTTCTATAGCTTACGTAGAGTTTTTGCTCTAAAGATAGAGTACTTGAATTGCCCTTGCTTGTGTCCCCGTGAGCCGGCAAGACCCTCAATCCTCACCCATTATATGCTCATACGGATTCAGTTCAATTTGAAAGGATATATTTCTCTATACTCATACGATGAATAGAATCTCATGAAGATATAAGACATATGTACCACTGAAGTTATTAGCTATTTAAAGGTCATACGAAGAATAAATTCTTACGAGAGCAAAGCATTCACCCTTACTTAATTGGGACGGAGCTCGGGTATAAAGCTTATTTCATGTGAATGCACATGACGTGTATGAGAAGAAACTTACAAACCTTCGAAAAAACAAAACAAAAAATAGAAGCACTATTGAAAGGAAATTTCGATGAAGATGAAAACATGAGTTTAAACATTAATATGACAATTTTCATAAAAAATGCCTAATAATTGAAAAACTAAAAAAAAAGATCATAAACTAAATATGAACTCGAATCCATAATTTCCAAAATTACGACAATGCATAAGCAATTGACGCCTTGACTCTCTAATGTGTCCCCAACATAGTCGTTAAGTTGTCTTAACGTTTCCTCATGTTCCTTTTAAAATGAAAAACCGGGTTCACGACTTATTTTAAAAATATTGGATTTTTTTAATTAATTCAATTTGGAGTCGTCAACAACCTTTGGGTTAGACAGATCGTATACCTAAAAAATGTCTTTTAAAGTAATTATAATAAAAATCTTTAGAAAGATAGACTAGTTTGTGTGTAACCAAAAAATCATTTTAAAACGGTTTCGAGAGTCGATTATGCTTGAAGAATGATCAGTACCCCACAGCGCCCAAAATTGATACATAATCGCTTATACGTCGTCATAAGAGTGAAATTTATAAATTTGATTCGAGATTTAAGATATGATCCTTTTATTGAACTTTGTTTGATTTATTTATTAATTGAATGAATTTTTGGAAAGCATTTATTTTAAAATATCTCACTCGTCGAAAAGGAGGTTCTTTTTCTTTGGAAAGAACCAACGGGATTTCCACATCCGTTATTAAGAAGTCCATTCCACCGGTTTTTTCAACAACAAAAAAATAACGTTGCCCTTTGAGAACGAAATTATGCTCAAATCAAATATGAATGTGTCAGAATATCACATGAACAAATAAGATATCAAAGTATGCTAACAAAGAATTTATGCACATTATCATTAACACTAAAGTAATTTTTATTTAGAGAAAATAATTAATTATTACTTTATTTAAATAATTTTATAGAAACGTACTTAAACCATTTATAAGACTTTCCCCCCATTATTTAATCTAAGAAGGTAAGAAAATGTAATTATACCCTTTTTTAAAATAATTTCAAAAAATTGCTCCTTTCTTTTATAAAACAACCTTAAAAATATGCGAATATACCATTTTATATTAAAAATAAGATTGATTTATTTCAAGTTCACTTTTCGTTCGAATGGTCATATTAAATTGCATGAGCGTTATTAAAAAGGCTTTTCATGACCATTCTACGATAAATATCATTGAAAACATACGAGTAATAATATCAGAAATATTAGCAAATATAAAAGAGTATTTTATAATTTCTCAAAATGTTTTAGCAAAATATGGATACATAAATATATAAGGGTTCAAATTGATATATATAATACACACTGGAAATGAAACAAATAAGATATAAAATTATTTACTATATTAATATAACTAATTATAACATACATTTATACAGTCAGTACGAATGCATATATATAAACATAAGAAAAATATGTATATGTACGTAAACAAATTTAATGCATTATTCTTGTAAATCTTCATTGTAATTTTGGATATTTTCTATTTTTAAAAACTGACGACTTTAATGGGAGTTGCTTGAAATGGAAATGCTCTGGGTGCACGTTAGCAGGCCTAATGGACTCTCAGATTTTCTTCCTCGTTTCTAATCCTTTCTCGTTACTAATTTTAGTGAGATTTCTAGGTTTTCTTCTTTTAGCTGTATGGAATCGTAATCCTTGAGCCTTGATTGGAAGAAGCTTTTCGTGGGATCGAAGGAGCAGTCCCTCGACTTTTTTCCCCCTGAGATGCGCGATGGAGTGGCCACTGTTATTCCTCCGCCTGAGGTAATCGATGAAGGTATAGTTGATTGGAACAATGCTCTTGTAGGGCAATTTATTGGTTCAGCCCCGAGTTTCGGATCTATGCAGCGAATCATTGAAACAATTTGGGGAATTCTGTGCAGGTTAAGGTAAGTCTCACCGGCCCTAATCTTTATGTGTTTTCGTTCTTGGATGCTGGCTTGAGGGACTAGGTTTTGGATAATGGACCCTGGCATGTCCAGAACAAGCCACTGGTATTAAGGAATTGGGTCCCTGGTATGCAGAAGCTTAGTTTTGATCTTTCTTTTATGCCAATTTGGATCCAGCTTTATAATGTTCCTTTAGAGCTATATTCTCGGAAGGGTTTGAGTTACATAGCGAGTGCCTTAGGTAACCCTCTGTTTATGGATTCGGTTACAGCTTCAAAGAATAGGCTCGAATTTGCCAAGGTTTGTGTGGAGGTTGAAGATGGGGTTGTTATACCTGATATTATTCATGTTATTCTAAGTGATGGATCCTCTGTTGGTATTAAAGTGCATGTACCTTGGCTGCCTAAGTGCTGTGATAAATGCAAATCATTTGGACATCATGTCAATTCTTGTTCTGTGGATAGGCAAATTCCTCAAAAGCTCAAAGAGGTTCAAATATGGAGGAAAAAGGAGGTTGCAACGCCTGTAAGTAAGGGGGACTTACCAGAAACTTCTTCTGATGCTATAGAGATTATTGGTTTAGTTAACAGTTCCAATGAGGTGATAGATTCTCTCTCTGAAAGTGTAAATAACAATGCAGAAGGAATTGTGAGTGGTCTGCAAGTCGGTGTAGTTGTTGAGACTACAGTACAGGCATTGCAGGAAGCTACTGCGCCTTTTTTGGAAGAAGCCACGCAGGTTTTTACTTCCCCACAGTATCTTGTTGCTGATTTGTCGAGTATTGTGCCCCAGAAGGTGATTGGCCCTTGTGAGCAGGATAAGGATCATGTTACTGAGGGTAGTTTGGTGGGCTAGCTATAGGAAATGGTCCAATCTGGGGATTTCCCTTCTCTCCAAGACTCCTTGAAAAAGAGGACTAAGGGTAGGAAAAAAGAGATTATTGGCTCTTCTAGTAAAATGGAGATTGTGGTTGAAGCTCCCAGGAAAGCCCGAGTGGCTTCTATGGGTGTGGTAATGTTGCTCAATGAGATCAAATCTAAGAAAAAACACCATCTTGAGAAAGCTAGGTGTACGGTAGGTATTCCAAGCACTGGCAGTAGTGCTCAACCTCCTCCATCTTGAATGTTGGTTACTTTTTGAAATGTTAGGGGGATTAATTACCCCCTTAAGCAGTTGAAGGTGATTAGAAGATTTGATGCTTATGGTCTGGATGTTTTTTATGTGATGGAATCTCGCATTAAAAGAGTTAATTCTGGTAGGTTTTCTAATGCATTGACTGGTGACTGGAATTATGCTGAGAACTATGAGTTTGTTGAGGGAGGTAGGCTTTGGATCTTTTGGAGGAAGCATTTGTTGTTCAATGTTTTGAGTTGTTGTGACCAGGCAATAACTATCATTGGGGTTGTTGATGGGCACATGACAGCCATTACTGCTGTCTATGGTAGTAACAATGGTGTTGTTAGAAGGGGCCTTTGGTATTATCTTAGTGTTGTTGATAGGGACATTGGTCCTTCCTCCTGGCTGGTGGGTGGGGACTTTAATATCATTGCCAAAGTTGAGGAGAGTTCTGACTTTGATGTCATGGGACTCCACTGCACCCCTGATATGAAGGATTTCCAGGAGTGTTTGGAGAGCCTTGACCTTATTGATCATCCTTTTCTTGGGCCTTTATTCATCTGGTCCAACAAACAGGATGGCTCTTTCTTAGCCCGCAAGCTTGACAGAATTTTAGTAAACGATCAATGGTTATTGGATTTCCCGGACTCTTTTGTAGAGTATAAATCCCAGGGGGTATTTGATCACTGTTTAGGCTTATTGTGGTCACACAAGGCAGCAATGACCAAGCACCCTAAGCCTTTCAAGTTCTTCAACTGTTGGACTGGCCATGATAGATTTCTGGCTATTGTTAGAGACTCCTGGCAGAGACAATGTGCTGGTTCTGCTATGTGCTATTTTTTCAGTAAGCTGAGGAGGCTCAAGCCATTACTTAAGGAACTTAATAATGAATCTTTCTCTGACATCTCTGGCTCACACAGCTCCAAATTTGGAAATTGTTAATAATGAATTGGAACAGATCCAAATTTTTAATCTGGCTCACACAGCTCAAAGAAGGATTGATGAAGAGAGTAGGGTTCACTCTGAACTTGTGAATTTGGAAATTGCTGAAGTTAACTTCTATAAACAGAAAGCTAAACCACACTGGCTTAGAGAGGGGGATTTGAATACAAAAAATTTTTATCAGAAGGTTCAGGCTAACAAAAAAAAAACACTATCAGAGTTATAAAAAGTGAGGATGGGAAGTTGTTTGATTCTTTTAAAGATATGGCTGTTGAGTTAGTGGACTTTTTACTAACCTCATTGGCTCTCCTGACCCCTCAGTTAAAGGTTGCTCTGCTGAAAGTCTGAAGAGCTTGATTAATGTTTGTTTGCCTAAAGGTGCAGATATATGTCTTACTAAGGAGGTGAGTGATGTGGAGATCAAATAGGCTCTCTTCAGACAAGGGAAGGATAAGAGCCCAAGTCCTGATGGCTACACTGCTGGCTTCTTTAAAGCTGCCTGGAGCATTGTTGCCAGTGATTTTACTTCTAAATTCCACAGCCCTAGTTTTGGTCCCTAAATCCCCTAATGCTACCTTAGCTAAGGAATTTAGACCTATTTCTTGCTGCTCAGTTGTATATAAAACTATCACCAGAATTCTTGTTGATAGAATTACTCCTTATTTTCCTGGCCTGATTTCATGCAATCAATCAGCTTTTGTCAAGGGTAGAAACATAGCTGACAATACCCTGTTAGCTCAGGAAATAGTGAAGGGTTATTCTAGGAAGAATCTTTCTCCTAGATATGCTGTGAAAATTGACTTGCAAAAGGCTTTTAATTCTGTTAATTGGGATTTCTTGTTGTCTGTTCTTGAGGAAATGGGGCTGCCTGATGTGTTTTGTAATTGGATCAAGGCTTGTATTACTACTCCTATGTACTCTGTTTGCTTGAATGGTAGTTTAGTGGGGGTATTTTAAAGGGGCTAGGGGGATTAGACAAGGGGATCCTCTATCCCCTTATCGTTTTGTTATTATAATGAATGTCCTTTCCTCCCTGTTGAATATTGCTGCCAAGAGAGGAATTTTTAGATTCCATCCTAAGTGCAAGAGAGTCTCTCTCACTCACCTTTGCTTCGCGGATGATCTGTTAGTCTTTTGCCATGGTTCCCTTGAGTCTGTGTTGGGAGTGCATAGCACTTTAGAGGTTTTCTATGAATTGTCAGGATTAAAGCTAAATCCATTGAAGACAGAATTTTTTGACTGTGGCTTAAACATAAACACCCTTGATCTGATCCAGCAATCTACTGGATTTAAGATTGCGCAGCTCCCTGTCAGGTATCTTGGAGTACCCCTTGTTACTCGTAAACTCACAGGGAATGACTGCTCTGCTCTTTTGGAACGTATTAAAGGTAAACTAGCTCACTGGTCTAGCAAAAAGCTCAGCTTTGGGAGCAGGCTGCAGTTGGTGAAAACTGTCATGTTCAGTATTTTTAATTTCTGGAGCAGGCAGCTTGTTCTCCCCAAGGGGATCATAAATGATGTCGAGAGGCTCTGCATGCGTTTTTTCTGGAAAGGTTGTGATGCCCCTGCCAGAGGTGCTCGTGTTAGTTGGAGCCAGGTCTGCTCACCTAGGTCTGAGGGGGTCTGGGTCTAAGAAGTCTTGTTCTTTGGAGTAAGGCTTGCTGTATATTGCTCATTAAGAAAATTCTTGCTAATGATGGATCACTCTGGATTGCATGGTTACATGCATACTTTCTTAAAGCTGTAAGCTTCTGGGAAGTTGAGTATAAAGCCTACTTCAGTTGGATTTTGAAAAAACTGCTGAAGCTTCGTGAGGAGGCTATGAATTTGTTTATTCCTTGTGCTAATTGGAACCTGATCAAGGGTAAATGGCTTTGGGACCAGATTAGAGTCCGTGCAGAGAAAGTTAGTTGGCACAGGATCATTTGGTTTCCTGCTCATATTCCAAAATTCTCCCTTATTGCTTGGATGGCCACCCTTGATAGACTGCCTACGAGGGATAGGCTGATTCGATTCAGTTTGGTCTTGGATAATGGATGTGTACTGTGTGGGTCTGGGATCGAGTCCCGTGACCATCTCTTTACTGATTGCTCCTTTGCTCAAGAAATTTGGAATGTTGTGTAGGTCTCATTTGGGATTTGTCTTGCTTTGCTTAAATGGAATGATCGCCTTCAATGGCTGATTGTTGACTTGAAGGGTAAATATCTCAGGGTAAGGATTCTAAAGCTCGGCTGGACTGGTTTTTTGTACCATATTTGGGAGGAACGTAACCACAGAAGCTTCAGGGGTGTTTCTCGTTCTGTTGATATGATTATATAAGTAGTATTAAAGATGATGTTAAAACCAAATTGTATAGCTATAGTACACAGGGGATTGATGATGTAAGTAGGCAAGTGGGTATAAATTGGGGGTTAATCTAGTGTTGGATTTTGCCTTGTCTTTATAGCAGCTTTGTTGCATTCTTTTGGATGAATATAATTTACTTATCCAAAAAATATTAATGCATTACAATAATAATAACATAATTATATATTTGTGTGTGAACATAAAAAAGATTAGTAATAAATAGATAGATATACACTAAAAGCAATTTATTTTTTATACATATATATAATAAAGCAAATTAATGCCAATAGTATTATGATTCAAAATGCTTGAAAAGTAAATCTAAATTATCTATTACATGAGAAATTATTTCATGAACCTTGTTCACCACCTCATCCATGATCCCTATCCAATTAAATGGATATACCTTATTTTTTTTTCATATCATATTTCTTTATGAATTAATACATTATCTTCTTCTTTCTCCCATTTTCTTCTTTCTTTCATCTTCAAACATAAAATCTAGATTTTAAGCCACTAATCCAAGCTAGATTTTACAATTAAAAATAGTTGGGAAGTATCAACGACTTTATTTTTTAAAAAAAATTCATTACTTAGGAGCCAAATAGACCAAATTATAACAGGGGGAATTGAATTCCAAAGAGTCTTGTTTTTGGAAGGGAAGGCGACGCCCTGCCAAGCGGGAAGAAAAACTTTAAGAGAATTGGGGAAAACCAAATATAGCCACTAACAAGCAGCCAATCTAGACCAAATTGACCAAGTAACAACAACACAAGAGAAAAAAGGATGTTCAACGGATTCATCAAAGGACTCACACAAGGGGCAAAAAACATCATTTTCTGGGGGATGCCCATTTTATGCAGTTTTTTCTTCACCAGAACATGCCCCTACTGAAATAGCCACAAAAAAAGCTTCGAGTTTGGGAGGTGCAATACCGATCCATACCATATAATTCCAATTAAAATCAGAATAAGTAGAGTTGCTGATAAGGGTTTTTACCGATTTAACTGAAAAGAACTCGTCACTTGAACCCTTCCATAGAACCCAATCCTCTTCTAAATTATAACCTTTAAAACTTGAAAGCAATGCCCATAGATTGGACCATTGAGCAATTTCCCAATCAAAAAGCTTGTGACGCAACCGGATGGACCAACACCATCCTTCAGAACCCTTCGACCCAAACTCGGATATCGGCCCAAATTTGTTCCTAGCCAATGCAAAATATCTGAGGAAATTTCCTAGACAGAGGCAATAACAAATCCAACAATTCCTCCCAAAAGGAGATGGCTTTACCATCGCCAACTTGAAGCACCATATTACTGCGAAGGGTTAACCCCATCTGATCATCCGAATAAAAAGATTTCAGAATGTTTTTCTAATACCAAGAAGAGTTTCTATGTGGATCACTAGGAGGTAGAATGGTATCATCCAAGATATATTTACTTGAGAAAACCTTTCTCTACCAGCTGTCCTTCTCCGAAACAAACCTCCACACCATTTACCCAAAATAGCACAGTTAGTGACATCAAAATCACCAATTCCTAAACCACTGGCATTACACGGCAGACAAAGAGACAACCACTTCACCCAATGTATTTTCCTTTTGTCCAAAGAGTCTCTCCAAAGGAAATTGGATGTTGGTTTTTTGGAAAAATCCCACATTGGTTGTGTATAAGGAGGAGGGGAAATTCTTTTGTTATAAATAGAGCCCTCATCCTCCTTAGTTTAGCATCCCACAAATATAAGTATTTTTCACTATTAAAGGATATTTGTACTCTTTCTCTCTTTGTAATATTTCATTTATTAGTGAAATATTATTTTAGTAGTGTTCGAGGACATAGGCATAATTTTGGTCGAACCTCGTTAAATTTTGGCGTTCTCCTCAGTGTATATTTAATAGTTATTGTCGAGTATAGTTGTTGTTAATTATTGTCCTATTAAAATTACTTGCTTGATAGTTTGTCTAAGGAAAGTGGGTTTTAAGAAGGACCATTGTGACCCCTCCTCTTTCCTAGGAATCTACCTTGGGGTGATTTTTAGTACAATCATTTTCACACTAGTAACCTAGATAATAGTTTTCAAGGTGAATTTGTTATTATTGGTGGAAATTAACCCGAATTCCATAACAATTGGTATCAGAGCTCTTGGTTTATTTTAGTATGCTCTGTGGTTGCGGCTTAGGCTAATCTTCCACATCGGAAAAACTTTTCTTGGGATAATTGACATTCCGTATTGACAGCTATTAAATAGAGTTTGTAGCAGAAATGGCAAACGACACAAAAACATCAGCAAGAAATGTTGTGACATATGTTAGATTTGTAGTGGAGATTTGTTATGGCACCGATCATTTCGTCATGTGACAAAGTGAGGTTCTAGATGTCATATTTCAGTAGGGTCTAGACATTGCTATTGAAGGAGAGAAACCAGATGATGTTGAGGAGAAAGAATGGAAGAGGATCAATAGATTGGCATATGGTAATATTCGATCGTGTCTTTCTAGAGAGCAGAAGTATACATTTTCTAAGGAAACTTCTGCAAGTAAATTATGGAAGGCACTAGAGGATAAATTTTTGAAGAAAAGCGGTCAGAACAAGCTCTACATGAAAAAAAGATTGTTCCGCTTCAACTATGTACCAGGTACCACTATGAATGATCACATTACTAGCTTTAATCAGCTGGTGACTGATCTGATGAATATGGACGTGACTTTTGAAGACGAAGATCTGGCTTTGATGTTGACGGGATCACTTCCTGATGAGTTTGAGTATCTTGAAACTACTCTACTTTATGGGAAGGTTGATGTGTCTCTCAGTGAAGTAACTGTTGCCTTGTATAGTTATGAATTGAGAAAGAAAGACAAACAAGAAAACATAAATGTCGAAGCAGAAGCTCTTGTTGTTAGAGGTTATTCGAAGAGTCAGAATAAAGGAATGTGATGGAGATCGAAGTCAAAGTCCAGATTGAGCAAAGATGAATGTGTCTTTTGTCGAGAAAAAAGACACTATAAGAAAGAATGTTTCAGGCTAAAAAATAAAAGCAAACCTGAAAGGGGAAAGGTTGTCTTAGAATCAAATGTGGTCAAGTATGATATGCATATTCAGATTTCGCATTCGCTGTTATGCCATCAACCAGCTGTTCCAGTTCATGGCTGTTAGATTCAGCTTGTAGCCACCATATGACCCCCAATAGAGAACGGTTCTTTGATTTTAAAGAACTAAAAGGTGGAATTGTCTACACAACAAATAATTCCCCTCTTGACACATTTGGAATTGGTTCAATTCACTTAAGGAATCAGGATGGATCAATCAAAACCTTAACAGGTGTCCATTTTGTACCAGATTTAATGAGAAATCTCATCTCTGTGGGAACCTTAGAGTCAAAAGGTTTAGAAGTGAGGCCAAAAGATGGGATTATGAGAATTATCTCTGGTGCACTGGTGATAATGAACGGAATCCGGAAAAGAAACAATGTGTATTACTTTCTGGGTAGTACAATTGTTGGGACACCGGCAGTGGCAGCTTCTACTGATGAACATGAGTCAGAAGCAACCAGGTTATGGCATATGCGCTTGGGGCATGTTGGTGAAAAATCCTTGAAATTGCTGATAGATCAATGATTATTGAAGGGTGCTCGGGCTTGCAAATTAGCTTTTTGTGAGCATTGCATCAAAGGAAATAAGACGAGGATGAAATTTGGAACAGCAATCCATGATACTAAAGGTATTTTGGATTATGTTCATTCAGATATATGGGGGCCTTCCAAGATAACTTCATTGGGAGGAACACACTATTATGTCACCTTTGTTGATGATTTTTCCCGGAGAGTTTGGGTGTATACAATGAAGACAAAGGATGAGGTGCTAGGATTTTTCCTTAAATGGAAAAAGATAGTGGAGACTCAAACAGGCAGAAAAATTAAACGTCTCCGTACAGACAATGGTGGAGAGTACAAAAAATGATCTATTTCTGAAAGTCTGTAAAGAATAAGGTATTGTCAGGCACTTCACTGTCAGAAATACACCACAACAGAATGGGGTGGCAGAGCGTATGAACCGGACATTAATGGAGAATGTTTGGTGTATGTTATCTAATGCTGGGTTAGGCAAAGAATTTTGGGCTGAGGCTTTGGTCTATGCTTGTCACCTTGTGAACCACTTACCATCGACTGTTATTGGTGGTAAAAAACCATTAGAGAAATGGTTTGGAGTACCTACTACAGATTATGATTCCTTACATGTGTTTGGTTCCACTACATACTACCATATTAAGGAGTCAAAGCTGGATCCAAGAGCAAAGAAGGTGATCTTTATGGAGATCACCTCTGGTGTGAAAGGCTATCGTCTTTGGTGTCCAGAAACAAAGAAAATAATCTTCAGTGGGGATGTTACCTTTGATGAATCTACCATGTTGAGAAAGGTGACTTCAAAAAAATTGGAGCAGACAGATGGAACTCCTAAACTGGTGGAGTTTGAAGAAAGCATAATTATCCCAGCCAGTAAATAAACTAATGTTGACTCTCCTATGGTAGAAGAAGAGTCAGATGAAGAAGAGATCATACCCAAGAACCTCCACAGCAACATGAATCAATTGCACTCAGAAAGGAAAAGAGGACCATTAGACAACCTGCTCGTTATGCAGATATGGTCTCTTTTGCATCACCAATTGCAATTGATGACGTTCATGCCACTTTTAATGAAGCAATCTAAAGTTCATAACATAAAAAGTGGAGGATCACCATGAATGAAGAAATGCAATCCCTTCAAAAGAATAAGACTTGGA